GATAAAGACCTTTCTTAAAGGATATTGTATTTGGTTCACCCTCATGAGGTGTAAGAAATAAGTCGAGCCATTTTTTTTGCTTGACCTGCAAAAAAAGACGAATCGGTTCCTGGTTGCTTCATAAGTTTGTAAAGCGCATAAAAGTCTCTCTACAAACGATTGATTAATGTAGCCCGCTCTTTGTCAAAAATAACATCAAAGTTAAAACCGTGCAATATCTTTTCCTTGTCATCTCCCATTAGGGGAGTATAATTCCAGTTTTCCGTATTATGTTCCTGCCAAAATTGAAAATTTATTGAAATTCTATCCATCTCTCTAACAATAACTTTTCTATTATATTCATCATATCTACATTCGGATTTAAGTTCCTGGATGACTAATTCCCATAATCTGTCATAAATTCTTAACATAACGTGGAGCTCGTCAGGTACATAATGATCCAGAGGGATCATTGGAATGAGAGATGCTTTTGAATGCCCGGGTGGTGGTCTTGCAGCTTTAATTTGTTCCATATTTTTTTCAATGGTGTAAACTTTATCTTTTATACCTATATCCTTTTTAGTGCACAAGCACCAAGGACAAAAATAAGTCGCATTTGGTGCATTAAACCCCAAGATTATGCACATAAATTTCCAATCGCTACTAAAAAAAGGCACTATTTTCCAATTGATTCCAGTGAAATCGTCTAACCCATTTTTTATTAAATTATCCAATTCACTAACTACCGGTACTGTCACCTTCTTTAAAAGATCATAGTTTTCTGACCCAGGGCATAAAACGATCGTATGGTGATAATCAGCATTGTAAAGATTTGATACATCGTCTAGAATCACATATGTAATCATTACATGCTTGATTTTTCTACCTACGTTTCTACCGTCACCTGATATGCGGATATGGATTACAGGATTATTTATATTTAAAACTTTACGATCTACAAGGCCTGGAATTAAAAAGAGTAAGATGTCCGTTATATATCGATAGCCTGCCTTGCCGATGTATTTTAGCATCTCTTCTTCAATTTCTGGATCATTAATATCGGATGACTCATTTGTAGCTATAAATGTAAGAGGTATATCTGTAATGTTTAAAATTGAAATAGGAATTTGTTGACTCATCTCTCCATTAATTTTTTTCCTAGTACTTAAAATGGCATGATCACGTGGTAGTTCATATTGAAGAGCAGCTAACTTTCTACAAGCATCTCTAGAAATTGGACTTTGATCAATAATTTTTGTAATTGCTTCAGTATGTTGATTATTTTTTTCTCTATTTTTATGGAAACTAACAACATAATCCTTCTCTTGAACATTAAATCGTAACTCTTGAAGGGCTGGTTGATCAACCGGATTATAGAACTTTGGAATTACATTTTTAAAGACAGTACCAACTTGCATTGAAAATGCGCGGGAATGTTTGGTTTTCATAGACTCGCTTAACATGTGAAATGGTTTGAAAGAATGAGAATGATTTTTTTTTTCTCGCTCTTTTTCTACGTCTATTGCATTAAGCCCAAAAACGTGAACCCCAGAAAGTTTGGCTTGCGTATTTGGATTTCTTTTCTATATAATAGAATTTTATTTTATTTTATTTTTATAAACATATATACAATACATAATTATAAAAATTTATTATTAAAATATATTAACTTGTAAATATTCATTGGCTGCTTTAGTCGAAGAATCCTTCGATTCTATTACAAATTTTTGGCCATTATCCTCAAACCTAATTATAAATACAGGTTTATTTATTTCATATTAACCTCACATTCTATTACATGCTTTGACCGTCCTCTGCCCCATCTTGTTTGTACTAAATAATTATCCGGAATCTTGTATTTAGTTCCGTTACGAGAGAAAGCTGCGGTATAATGTACTATGCTTGTTGGTGGATAAAATCCTTCACTAATGATAGTGTATGTATAAGTAGTATTGTTTTGCTTAAGAGAAAAAGTGTTGTCTTCAGGGTATTTACTTCGGCTAAGAGACATCCTGGTAGAAAAAACCGTTGTTTGATTTGTT